TTCTGTTAATTAAGCTCATTGTGGCAGTCCGTCAGAGCATTGCTAATGAATAGACGATGAGGCTACATAAGTTGAGCTTGTTACCTCCAATAGACTAATCGTGTTCTATTATGGGTCTTTCTGTAAAGCTTGCCGAAACACAACTCGGAACCAATAGTTTGTTTCAAAATGATTTTCTGAAATGTTATTGAATTTGGGTGATGTAGGTAAATGAGATCTGTGGGGTTTTAGGGATCTGTGGGGTTTTAGGGAAGGGACAAGGGTCCCAAGCAGGCTGGTCGAAGGAGGTAATAGATGATCTGGTCAGGCTCCTAGACGGGTTATATTGTGTGTATTACATGGGAGGAGTGGATCAGTGCTCACAGGATCCCATGTGATTGTATTAAATGAGATGTGATAAGTGAGAGCAATGATGTATTATGTATACAGTCTCTTTGTACATTGTGTTATAACTGGTTATATACTATTCATGCAGAAGGAGACAACTGTTCCCGGTTAGACGTTAAACAGCTTGCCTAAACACAGGTGCTCAGCAACTTGCTGTTGTGTAGTGTTACAACATATCTGTTGTATATGTGTTTTATGAATACAAAAGACGCGGTGGGGTAGCGTAGTGGTTAAAGCATTTGCTCGTCATGCCGAAGACCCGGGTTTGATTCCCCACATGGGTACAATGTGTGAAGCCCATTTCTGGTGTCCCCCTCTGTGATATTGCTGGAATATTGCTAAAAGCGGCGTAAAACCATACTCACTCATTCGCTATGAATACAAATGTGAATAGGCAACATTGTATTATGTAAAATATTTCAGTAATATGTAATAAAATATTTCAGTGGCTATGCGTCTTGCTTCAGTGGAAGCTGTCAAAACCGGCAGTTGTCCAATCCAGCAAGTTGTCAACACCGGCCTAAAATCTCATTCCTGTCCGTGGCTAGTGCAATTATCATCATTTAAAAGCTCTGCAATCCGGCAGCTGTCAATTCTGGATCTCGGCTTGAAATGAGCCGCCCGAATGTGGGTTTATGCTGTAATCAGCGCTGTCTAATCCGGCGTGTGGTTAGAATTCGCCTGGATGTGTATTGTCACCAATTAATCTTGTGTTGAAACTACATGGTTGTCGACAAAGACATTTTAATCTGAGTGAGTTGACATGTTTTATTGTGATAGAACAATGTATATGACACTGACAAAACTTGTTCACTTCTAGTCGGAGCTAACCGTGTCATCTGTACAATCCGGCACGCTGTCTAAACCGGATTATTTCTTTAGTCCCGACGAGTGCCGGTTTAGACAGCTTCCAGTGTATTTTGAAACTTGTTTCATGCTCGGTGTCTGTTGACAAACAAGCTTCGACTTAATATGTGTCATTGACATTATCATTGTTAGACAGAGACAATCACAGTATTCCAGAGTTTATTTCATAACATGATTTTCATTATGGTGAGGGGAATATATATTTTCAGTCTTTCCCTGAATGTGAAAAGAGAGTGTATTTTGAAGACATTTGTACATTTTTAAAAATTAATTTCAGACATTATTTTATCTTGACTTATTTTTCAACTTTAGGGGAATTATATCTGCCTTGTTTGTTGAAAAAAACAACCCAACACATAACAAAGAAACCTTTCTGAGAACCGATCCTCTTAACTCAGGTAATAGCTCCTAACTTGTAAACAAAAACTAGCAAGCTTCTTTTGTTTTATTATCTACACCGTGTTGAGGATTTCAGGATTTCTAGGATGCCTCTGGCAGACAAGTTTGGAACCAAATGTTACTTTATTCAAGGGATATTTTTTACACAGGTTTTTAACATATTTTTTCAACATTGTATTCAGTACTGAAATGTAAAATTAATCCCCTTCCTCTTTCGCTTCTTTGTGAGGGGGATACAAGTGACCTTGACCATAATATTACCTTAGTTGTAACTGTGGTGACAGGAAATCTGCATTTTCATTCCCATTAGGGAGTTATTAATGGATTTTGCTGCAGATTTTGTGCCTAATATCAACCTTTGAGAAGGTCCAGATAGATCCATGTATTTGTCCACAAATTTGCATGTGGCTTGTACACAGACACTAATGAAGACCGAGTTAGAATTGATCTTCAGTAAACCATGCTTGTCGTAAGAGGCTAATGACTAATGAGATCGAGTGGTGGGGCTCGACTGACCAATTCCCAATTGCGTAGATCGGTGCTCATGCTGTTGATCACTGGATTGTCTGGTCCAGACTTGGTTCTTTAGACTGCCTCCATATAGCTGGAATATTGCTGAGTGCTGTGTAAAACTAAATTGACTCACTCACTTGTACACAAGCTCTGGCCACAAATCAGGTGAAGTTACGCATGGTCACAGAGAGTCCTTTGATGGGTGACTGTGTTCGTCAGCTTGAGTCCTGAGAGATTTTACGAGTTCAGTCCTTCCCCCTAGTCTAACGCTTAGTCCCTGAATATATATAATTTTGATAGTAACAAATAAACACATTTCTATTGAAGAGGAGCCCCAGTGAGTTGGGAAATTACCTGGGGAAATAGACTTGCTTCATTTAGGGCTTTAGCATTGCAGGGAGGGCTTGAGGCAGTAGGGAAAAGCAAGACTTGAGATTCGATTATTTACTCACCGCCGCCATATAGCTGGAATATTGCGGAGTGCGGCGGAAAACTAAACTCACTCACCTCCAGCAAGGCTTGGTTATTGATCTTGTTCAAGGAGTGCCCCCTTTTTACGTCCAAGTGGTGGCAAACCTGTCGATAACTTGCCCATTAATGCGATTAAATTCAGTTGATCATAACGTGATAAATTGTGGGTAACGACCTCAAAGTCTAACTGAAGTGGCTGAAGCATATGCTTGGCTGCATCCAGTGTGATGATTTCCAGCTGATTACGATGGACTAGGGCTGTATTGTAGGAGATATGGCTGTTGCTTTTCAGATGCTTGAATAATCAAAGCTATGAATATTTGAACTGTGCCTCGTTGGAAAACTAGTTATAATGATTATGTAATGTTGCATAAATTTGGCTTGTTTGTATGCAAACTATATTGTTTGGGGAGGAATTTTTTGTACGGCTGGATGATCTTGTTTGCTTGCAAACTGACCTTGACACCTGCTGTGGTCGGCTGCGGAAAGATTGCAACGCAAATGTTTAGAATTGTGTGATCGGAGTTGATGGATAGTGATGGAGAGACTATTTATGGATTGCATCTTATTATGGATAAAAGCTTGACACTGTCATGAGGATATAGATGGCGGTGGGGTAGCTTAGTGGTTAAAGCGTTCGTCGTTTGTCATGCGCAGGTTCGATGCCGCACATGAGTACACTGTATGAAGCCCATTTCTGGTGGAATAGTGCTAAATGCAGGTTATTCCCAACCCAACCCGTGAAGATGGGTTAGAATTGGCCAGTACCCATGCTTGTCGTAAGAGGCGACTAACAAGATCGGATGGTCAGGCTCGCTGACTTTGTTGACGCATGTCTTCGTATCCCTATTGCATAGATTGATGCTCATGCTGTTAATCACTGGATTGCAAGACTTGAGATTCGATTATTTACAGACCCCCGCTATATAGCTGGAATATTGCTGAGTGCGGCGTAAAACTAAACTCACTCTTTTAGAAAACATATTAGTCTGTATGATTTTGAATTTCATTCTCATACCACTCTTGTAGCTTTCGATTTAATAGTTAATTCTTAGAGCTCTTTCTGTCAGCCCACATTAATATAATGTGCCGTCGTGAAACTGACATACTTTGGCATAAAACAGACGCTTGCTCTCCCCTGATGGGCTAGTTCAGGATGGAGTGGGTCATTTGCTAAAAGATGTCACTAGAAATGGGCTCGGATGATTGTATTGATGTGAGGATAGCTGAACATTCAGCCAAAGTAGTTGTGTATGGCGCTAATTGGGTGGGGAGAGGCTTACCCATTACTGCCTGTATACAGCGATGGTGGGAGGGTGACAGTAATGGTTGGGCAGGACCGTATTGACCAGCTGACCAATGTTAGCCCCTCCTAACTTGATAATGGCGTGGGAGCCTGTAGGGCTGCAGTGAATACACCTGGAGGTGAATATGATATATACTCACCAACAAAACTTAAGGACCATGTATATATCATGAATGAAACGCGACAAACACGAATATTTATTGACAACTACAATAACATGTCAGCAGCTGATATATTATTCAGTCTTTTTAGAGAAACAATGACAAAATAATTATTTGACATGTTTTGGCCATGTTGACAGTGTAACTTCAGCATGACATCAGTACAATATTGACCTCCTCAATTTCCCATTTCACCTTACTATAGTTGTAAACGCTTTGAGGGGGCCGTGGGGTAGCCTAGTGGTTAAAGCGTTGGCTCATCACGTCGAAGACCCGGGTTCGAATCCCCACATGGGCACAATGTGTGAAGCCCATTTCTGGTGTCCCCTGCCGTGATGTTGCTGGAATATTGCTAAAAGCGGTGTAAAACCAAACTAAGTCAGTTGACAAATGATTACTAGTGTCACCCCTATGATCTAAAAGTGGACTCTTCTACATGTTCTAGTTGAAGTAGTTGAAGTAAAAAAAGGACAGTTTTTTAAAGAATGTATTTATTTCTGCTACTTGTCATTTTCAGATTACAATGAAATTGATAATTTATTTATCTTATACATATCACATCATACCATTACATCATATCATTTTAGTATTAGTATGGCCCTGACCAGTGAGTCAGGCTCATTATAAGAGTATGGGGGTGCATTTTCTAATCCCAATTAGCCTACATTGTTTTTGTATGCGATATGGGTTGAAGGCGAATTGAGATGTAGGCGAATAGAGACTAAACTGAGTATCCCAGCCTGAGGGTAATAAAAGTTGTGTTGTGTTGTGTTGTGTTGTGTTGTGTTGTGTTGTGTTGTGTTGTGATGTAATAGCAGCGTCTCTAATCATCATGTTGAGATGAAGCGGTGGATTGAAGGAGTCATCGATTGCTGATGTGTCATGTTATTTTTCAGCTCTACCCTGATCACGAGATCACCAACATTGTAGAGGCATCATACGAAACCAACGTCCCTGAATGGCCATCCAAGACTGGCAAGAGACACACCCACCATGTCAGGCCGTACAGGTGTATTGGTGAGTATCTGATTACATATTACCATATATTACCATTGATAAGCTGATCTCATATATAAGCTGAGGTTCTAACTTGACCCTTAATCTCTGTATCAAAATGGTATGTTCCGTACATAAGCCAACCTACCAACCTTCGTTCATCTCCTGGTTGTGGTCAGTCATCGGCAATAGAGTATCTACGGTAATATACAGGGAGTTCCTGTGGTTGTGGAAGAGCTCTTTGCAGCATGCTTGTCTTGGAAGCTGACTGCGTGGAGGTTTGGGGTTGAAATATGTCCTCCATAACCTATACAGGACGTAAGAGGTGACTTAATGAATCAGGTCGTCCAATCGGTGACATGGTTGATCGCGTCGTCCATTTAGTGACGTGGTTGATAGGGTCATCCTTTCGGTGATGTAGTTGATTGGGTCGTCCAATCGGTGACTTGTTTGATCGTGAAAGCCCCAGTTTGTAACCAAACTGCATTTTCCCCAATATGTGTGCCAAAAGCATTCAGTTTAGGATCCTGAACATATAATCCTGCGCCATATTTGTTGTCATCTGGCTGATGGCTCATGATCACATTGCCTCTCACAACTCCTGAGCAGATTGTGAAGCTGACAAACACACCCCTGCCACACGCGGCGTGGAGATGAGCGGCTAGGCAGGACTATGCTATTGAGCAGGAACGTTCTCTACTGCCTACCAATACTTGGATCAATGTGTTCACACTGCTAGTATCTTCAAGTCCTGATCTTGAGGTTGTTTATGTGACAGTGCCTGGGTTTATGGGAAATATTGCTGGGTTTTATCTAGGAATCCTCCAAGATTAGGGATGATAGGAACATGATGCACCATTGTAATATTACTGATGCAGTTATTAATACTGATACACCTATGCAATATTACTGATGCCCAAGTGAAATTTAGTGATGCACCAATGTAAAATTAATGATACACCAGCACCAATGTAATATTAGTGATGCACCAATGTAATATTAGTGATGCCCCAATGTAATATTAGTGATGCACTAATGTAATATAGCTGATGCACCTGTTAAATATTACTGAAACAGAAACTCCATCACTGATATAGAAGTGATGACATAAACAGGTTTATGACATGGAGCCTGTAGTGGGGATATGGTATGCTCTTACTACGGTATGGTACGTACTGTGGTACAAGGCCTTCGGTTCGGTTACGTTATGTGAGATATGATTGTAATGCAGAAAATTGACATCTTGCAAAGAAATGCATAGATTTTGACAAAATGATTCGATTTTAGAACAGGTTTAGAAAGGAAATTAAAATGATGGTGCGAAAACTGAAATTACAGAATTTTAGGACTGCATTACGGTATAGTGAACTGAAGGCAAAATACTGCGGTTCTACTATTACCACGGTATACAGTTTCACCCCTAGGAGCATTATCCTCACCCAGCCAAATGGTTGCAGTCTCCAGTCATTGAGTCCTGCCAGCCATGTAATGGAATAAATCACAGAACAGTCATGTAGACTCATATCCTGAATTATGCAGTGTGTATGCTTGTTGAATAAAGTCGGCTTAGGTTTGATTGTTTGTTGTTTAATGCTGCACACGACAGTGTACCAACTATATGACGTCAGTTTGTAAATAGCCCACATAATCCGGTGATTGATGTCATGAGCATTGATCTGAGCCACTGGGATACATGGCTGGTGTAAGTGTGTGTTGGTACATGTTGACGCCCTCCTGTTGAGTAGAGGGAGAGTCCAGACATGGGGTCAGATGCTACTGCGAGAGGGATGGGATTTGAGGGGTCTTTGGCAGGTGCTTTGGAGACCTGTGGGTCCGGTGATGTTGAGAAGGGGTGAGGTTGGGGGAGTCCAGAATCTTTGGCATAGGATTTGGAGGGAGACAGGAATGTTCAGGTTTGTGACTTGTGGGTCAGGTGCTGTGAAGAGGGGGTGAGGTCGGGGGGAGTCCCATCACTGTGGATGGGAGAAGGGGTTGAGTTGTATTGAATCCAAATACGTGGGTCAGGCACTGTGAGTGAGTTTAGTTTTACGCCTCACTCAGCAATATTCCAGCTATATGGCAGCAGTCTGTAAATAATCGAGTCTGGACCAGACAATCCATTTATCAACAGCATGAGCATCATTATATGCAATTGAGATACGATGACATGTGTCAACCAAGTCAGTAAGCCTGACCACCCAATCCCGTTAGTCGCCTCTTACGACAAGCATGGGCTACTGAATATCAATTCTAACCCCAGATCTTCGTGGATGTGTCAGGCACTGTGCAAAGTGGGTGGTAATATCAGAACTGGGACTTGTGGGTCAGGCTGGATGTTTACACTGTGCAAGGAGGGTGAGTAATGTCAGACGAAACTTGTGGGTCGGGCTGGATTTTTACAATCAATAAATCACTTTCAAGAAATACCATTTCAATTTGTAGCCAGGGTTGAATTGTAAAATGTTTCTGAAGTAGAAATTTCGAGTCAACAGCAGTCATGTAATACAGTGGAATCAAATCAGTGCGTGCACACACAATAGTTAATCTAACAATGGACAAACAGTTGGCAAGCTACACTAGTCTTTGTTACCAACTGATGCTAGATGTAGATTGTGGTAACAACAAACCAGAATAGTCAAGCATTGTTATTGAACAATGGGTTGAACATATAGCCTTAGAACTGAGACTGGCTTGTGAGAGTGAGGGTCTGTAGGGTGAGTGAAGCTGTGCACGAGGGTCTGTAGGGTGAGGCTGTGTGCAAGGGGGTGTGTGTGATGGCCTACTGGGTGATAGTGTGCATTGGGGTCTCTAGGGTGAGGATGTGCTGGGTGGGATCTGTAGGGTGAGGGTGTGTGCACTGAGGGTCTGTAGGGTGAGGATGATGTGCATGAGGGTCTGTGAGGGTAGGGTGAGCTGTGTGTGTGTGCTGGGGTCTGTGGGGACAAGGGTCTGTAGGGTGAGGGTGTGCAAGAGTAGGGTGTGCTGGGGTCTGTAGGGTGTGTGGGGGTCTGTAGGGGGTGTGTGCTGGGGTCTGTAGGGTGAGGGTCTGTAGGGTGAGGGTGTGTATGAGGGTCTGTAGGGTGCGCAAGGGTCTGTAGGGTGAGGGTGTGAGGTAGGGTGTCTGTAGGGTGAGGGTGTGTAGGGGGGTCTGTAGGGTCGGGGGTCCTGATCAGTATTGGTGGATTGTGTATGGGGATTCCAGGAACTGTACCTTTTGTAGAGGGTCTGTTTGCTAAGTATGGTATATAGTCAGGAATTTGATTTTGCAGAATCAATAGTATCTGTCAGGGCCAGGTTTAGGAAGCTCTACATGTTGAGTGATTTGATGGTAGTGCATGTAAAGATATCGCGATCCTTCCAATTTTCCAAGGCAGGAAATACTCTGTACTGTCCAGGGCTTCACTGAGTGTGCTCTGACTAACTTTTACAATAGCATGTAAGGAATGTTTATTGTCATCCTCTATTACGACCTGACATTTATGTGTCTGTATTTTCTGGTTGATATTACAGAGGTCGTTTTCTCTCAGAAACCTGAAACAAGGAAGGGATATGTTAGTCCTAGCTGATAACTGTTGATGACAAAGTTTTAGATTCTTCAACATTTTACCTGCTTGTGCACTACTGGGATTTTAGAAGTTGGTAAGCCGGTATAGACTAACTTTATGGATAACAACAAAATCTTTCCTGCTTGACAATGCTTCAAGAACCTGTATCAAAATGTCTCACTCACAAAAGAAAGAAGTTGTTATCAATAAAGTTTGTCTATATTCAGGATGAGAATTTTCCACGGATTTGAAACCTGCGTCCCCCAAGATCCCTGGCTCATTTTCCTCTGTTTTCACTCATACCTATTCTCGGGTGGTGGGGTAGCCTAGTGGTTAAAGCGTTCACTCGTCACGCTGAAGACCTGGGTTCGATTCCCCACATGCGTACAATGTGTGAAGCCCATTTGTGGTGTCCCCTGCCATGATATTGCTGGAATATTGCTAAAAGCAGTGTAAAACCCAACTCACTCACTCATACCTATTTTCATCCCTGTATATTGCACTACAGCTTGATCTGTGAAAATTATTTTCTGTTTAACTTTATGGTTTTAAGTGCCCCCATGGCTATTTTTCAAAGTATCAAGGTTCAGAATGAAAGTGAATATGGTACATATTATGAAATAGTGCTTTGAGAGGAGCTGCCTGGCTTCCATAAACAAGATCCTTCATGCTGAATTGGCTGATGCAGTGTTAAAATATTCTGCCATTATTTGACCCAGACATTTCATCTGTTGACATCCGCAACCAACTGGGATCTAGCCAGACATCCTAACCTGCTCTGATATTCAGACTCAACTCAGCTGAAATGTTCATTAAAATTATCAAGAAGAATTAGAGCTGCCCGAATTTAGGTTTCTAAATTTTATTTACCCAGGTTTGATAATGTTTTGAATACCTGAATGTATAACTTTAAGAATGTCACAGTGTTCGAACAAATATAAATAAATAAAAAAATAAATATTTTCTTAGCTTGGTCACTTGGTTTAAAATCTTTGAATCCCCGAGCAAAATGTTAAAATGCTTTGTTATGTAGCAACATGCTAATCCAGTAGCTGTTCAGGGCATAAGATGAGAAACATTTGTGTTATTCTTTTGGGCCGAGATTGAACCTGTCTTTTGTCAGAATTATGTATGGAACTGAGTTGAAAGGATACTTGTGACAGCGGCTGAAAAGAGGCCATCGTGTACATACAAATTCATGGATATATTCATGTCTGTCTGCTTTAATCAATTCCTTTATTGCTGGGGGCAGTAAGCTAGCTGGAGGGGTCAGAGCTTGGAAGGCATCAATCAGGCTTTCACTCCACCTTGCTGGGCTGTGTTCAGCCTGAATGGATTTTAATTGAGTTTAACTGTGGAGACCCCTTGTGATCAGGAATAACTGATAGGCTGAATGTGGTGTTTCTTCCAACATTGCAAGGGGCACTGTTAGACTATGTTTCTTCCAACTTTGCAAGGGGCACTGTTAGACTATGT